TCTTTTTCTTTGTAAGAAGTCATATTGAGTTATTCAGTTTAATGGGGGTCAACTCCTGTAGTCTGTCAGTTAATTCCTTCTTTTTCTTTGTAAGAAGTCATATTGAGTTATTCAGTTTAATGGGGGTCAACTCCTGTAGTCTGTCAGTTAATTCCTTCTTTTTCTTTGTAAGAAGTCATATTGAGTTATTCAGTTTAATGGGGGTCAACTCTTGTTATCTCATCTGCTAATTCTTTTTTTTTCTTTTTCAAGGAGTAAATAACCACATTAAATTCTTTCACTAAACACTGGTCAGTTTTCGTACTTTTGGTCAGTTAGTTCCTGAACTTGCTTTGTATAATGTTATATTTATTGTTTATGTTTGCGTTGATATTTCTCAGTTGAAAAAGTAGAATTTATTTATAAGTCACTGTAAGATTTGCATACACATGCTTTAAAATAAATAAATAACTAAATATACATTAGTCATAGTATATGTCGTTCACGGACCATCATTTTTTGTTGTTTGGCACAGAAATATTAACCAGTGAAGATTGACTTTTCGGACTAGTTGTTGCTGTTGTCGACGTTCATTGATGCTTCTCTCCACGAGGCCTTTCGGTATTTCAGCGAAGTTTAAATAACCAATATATTATCCCATGTTACGTTAAAATCGGTGGTTTGATACTGGCTTTGTTTGACAAGTATACAGTTTTATACGTGTTTTGATATAAATGTAATTTGATACTTTTTAATGGGTTGTGCCGAGTATGTGTGCGCATGCGTGATTTTATGATGAGTGTGTAGTGAGTTCGATTTTATTACGAATGTGTGAACCAACAGCTGTCCCACGTGCGTTTCGTAGGTCTCGTGCTCATCAACGTTATCTGATATGTACTACTTCTGTTGTTAATAATATGTAAACTTTTCTTTCTATCCCAAGCTAGCTAGACACATTTGATTGTTGCTGTAAAAGTGAGTGAACTTAGGGTGTGAAATGTGGCGTGTTTATCGAGCATTTCTTGACGGGATCATGTGGCAAAAATTGACTTTGTTTCCAAACGCATTATTCCAGTTTTTGAAGGAATTAGTATTCTAGAGCTCGTGTGATATTTTCAAGTTAATGTCACTATTCCACTCACGTAAATCGTGATAACATCTTTTAGATAATGAACTATGAATTACGTAGATCAACAAAGAATAGAGAAAACAAACGTCTTGGAAGCTAACGTTTTCATTGAATATTAAATTTACAGAGAATGTAACTTATATTGTACAAATTAATGTAAATGACGTGAGATGAAATAGGCCTAACTGTCCTACGGAACTAAGAACAAAAAGAAAGAAATCTATCAAACAAAACAAATAGACTATACATGTGCATTCTTTCTTTTTCTATCCTTCTCAGTAGCTAGGGGGCTCAGCGGTACATTTTAGAGATTATAACGCTAAAATTCGGGATTCTATACCTGCGTCGGACGGAACACGGGTAGCCAATTTGTAGATCTGCGCTTAAACAAATTCATCTCTAGGTATACGTACATATATATATACAAAGGAAAGTCAAAACGTTTACATTGAAACTTTAAAAAATATTGTCCAATGCAAGTCCTTATCATTAGCATTATGTCATAACGTAAACTGCCTGTGGTCATAGCTCCAAAAGATGTTGGGGGTATTCCATCTATCAGACATGATCCAACCGCAGATGTTGAACTAGTTACCAACCGGTGAGAATCAGTTACTAGTTCTAGTAATATAGATTACATTAACTGTAAATAGGCGATCAAATCAGCACCATATAACAATGAAATTAATACAAATTAAAGTAAAACCGTTTATAATGGGACCGGTTTGAAATAGATTTTTATCAAACTGAAACACAGCTTGGAATGGAATTATTTCTGCTTAAGCTCCACCATGTTTTCGCTGTACTGTGATTTCCGTTAATAATCTCTGACAGAAACTCACGCCAATAATGTTATACGTGTTAAAACTGTATAAGTATGATTTAGTGTGTATTCAGGCCAATTTCACCCGTTAACAATACAACAATAGACCGTTATCTATAGTCTTGTTGTAACAATATACCTAAAACAAATCATTGTTGAAATTACGCTGCCTTTAAGACTGAGTAGAAAGAACCGCGGAGGGTTTGTAACTTAAGCAAGTTATTGGGTTTGGAGTGGCTCAAGTTAATGGTGTATTTTAAAATTAGTACCTAGTTAATTATACAATTTATTGATAAATTAATGAATTAAATCTTTTTAATGTCAATATCCATTAAATTGTCTTTTCTGGCATTGATTTACAGAGTTCAGTAGCTAAGTTAACATCACCAAAAAATATTAATAGAAATACTAATGTAATTTGGCAACGGTCCCTAACGTTAACAATATCCCGACAGGTTTCTAGAATCTGACTGAAAGGTGGCTACCAACAAAGTGTTTAATTTAAACCTCTCCATTCATTATTGTATGAAGACCAGTTTGGGGACATTTGGTGTAAACGTTCCCTTCGTTACAATATATTAGTGTTAACCCTAAACGCTCTGCACTAACTGTTTACTTTTCTTATATTATTCCGCATACCCTAAGAGCGAGGCAAGAGCTTAATTTTATTATATATTTTATACTATCGACACCTCTGTCATAACTCCTTCAGTTTCATTTTCGTATTTCTTATTATTCTGTATTTTTGTCTAATAAATTATCCCAAAGTAACTGTTTATAGTGTATTGAATTCACCTTAAAACCTTCGAGCTTGGAGTTACGTAAGGATCTGTTTACTTGTCAGTTTTTCATCGTAATTTCATTATATTTCTTTCTCTTTCCGAGTCACGGCTAAGAGCTCTTGCAAAAGTAAGACATTAATCCATATTGCAATATCCTCCTCCTGCATTAGCTGTTTTAAAGAAGATAAGGTCAATTTAGCTGAACGCGAAGATCGATGTGAAACTCGTTTTTTTTTTAATTCACCAGCAAAGGAAGTTTTCCAAGACGGAGAACAGTCGATCAATATTCATATGTTTGCTGTCGGCACCTTCGTCCATCTCTATACTAAAGTACTCCCAAGCGCCGTCTTGTCGGGCTCACGTTCCATGTATTCATAAATTATTGAGTTTTGTGTTGTTGTTTTTTCTTAGTGACGTAGATGAACCCGAAGTCTTCGGCAAAACAAGACCCATTTAACTACTTCTTCTGTGCTGGTTTACAAAAGTTGTTCCAAGACCTGATAAATGTAACACATACAAAATATCTGAGGTGGTTCTTCAGGGAATTTGTTTCCTTTCTCAGACTACAGAGTATCTACCTATCTGTCTATCTATCTTTCTATTGTGTGTCTATCTATCTTTTTATCTGACTACCTACATATCTGTTTATCTACCTGTCTATCTATCTTCCTATTTTGTGTCTATCTATCTTTTTATCTGACTACCTACATATCTGTTTATCTACTGTCTATCTATCTTTCTATTGTGTGTCTATCTATCTTTTTATCTGACTATATACCTATCTATCTATCTATCTGTTTATCTACCTGTCTATCTATCTTCCTATTTTGTGTCTATCTATCTTTTTATCTGACTACCTACATATCTGTTTATCTACCTGTCTATCTATCTTTCTATTGTGTGTCTATCTATCTTTTTATCTGACTATATACCTATCTATCTATCTATCTGTTTTTCTACCTGTCTATCTATCTTCCTATTGTGTGTCTATCTATCTTTTTATCTGACTATATACCTATCTATCTATCTATCTGTTTATCTACCTGTCTATCTATCTTCCTATTGTGTGTCTATCTATCTTTTTATCTGACTATATACCTATCTATCTATCTGTTT